GTGGTATTTGTGTGTATGTGTGGTTGTTGTATGTGTGTGTATATGTAGTTGTTGTTGTTTTTCTCATTGCTGTTTATTTGTTTGGTGACTTTTCTCAACTAATTCTGTGGATTCTATATTCCTTGTACTATGTGGCCCCTGAGTTCTCTGCTAGCTTATTTTTAAAAAACTTCTTGTTTTTATTTTTAAACCTGGATTCCTAGGAGATCACACCTGTGTAGGTATATGTTGGTGGTCAGCCAGTGATTGGTTGGATTTCCTTAAATGCCTTGTCCATATGTCTTCCACCCTTCGCCAAGGGGATCGGTGTGAGAAGGCGTGTCTTCAAACTTTAGCCAGTTTACAAGGCAGGCTTAGCTTTCACATTCTGCTTACGGTCAGCCAGAAGTGAGTGACTTGGGGCCTCTCCTTTTCCACCTCTTTTTTGTGCATGTGCATAGCCTTGACTATGTGCGCAGCCCTTTAGATACCTGGGAATATATCAGGGCTTTTCAGAGTTTCCTATGGTTGTCTCATTCTCTAGGATTTCCTTTTAAATTCCTGGCCAAAGCAGTCAGGCCTCTCTGTTGTCTGCAATTTCGTCAGCCTTTGCCTACTATACTACTGAGCTAGAGAGGGAAAGAGGATGGGAGTTAGCTACAAGTTAAAATGTCACAGAACCCATTGTCTCACCAAGATTCAGTAGTTTCTCTTAGACAGATGATTTTCACTTCATTCTGTGTCTTTGGTTAATTGCAAGTTTTGAAATGGTTGATTGTAGTTGGTTTGCCCATATTTTCATTGTTTTAAAGGGAAAGCCAGTTCACCAAAGCCCTTATTCTGTCATCCCATTTATCTCCTATGGCTCCCATCTTTAAAGAACATTTAAAACCCGATTTATCACACATCCCCATGTAACTGTGACTTTCTTTATTCCCCTAACAGCAAAACTCTCCAAAAGAGCTGTCATTCCTCACTTTCTCCTACTCTTCTATTCTCTGTTTGTTCATACAAAATATATTAGATATGCAATAAAAAATTATATACATGAGTTATCAAGAATTAATGTAATGAAAACTGAAGAAGTCACAACTCCACCCAAGAGCAACATTAATGATAACATCTATCCCTATGTCCTTTTCTATCCTATTACCCGCCATCCCCCCTGCCAGAAATTACCATTCTCTTAAGTCTTATGTTTAACATTCTCTTGCTCTTTTTGATACATTTTTTGCATATTTGTGGAAATGTTTAACCAATACATTATTTATTTGGCTTGGTCTTGAGCTTTGTGAAAAATAGCCTCATACTGTATGTGGTCTTCTGTGACTTACTTTTTTTCACTCATTATTATGTTTCAAAGATTCACCTGGGTTCTTGCATGTAACTGTAGCTTGTTCATTCTCAGTGCTGTATAATAGTTCATTGCATGACCATAAAACACAGTATGCATCCATTTATCTGTTGATTGTTTCCAGCTTTTTGCTGTTAGGAACAGTGCTACTATGAATATTCTTGTGCGTTTCCCCTAGTACACATATACACCCATCTTTCTAAGGTATGTTCTGAGGAATAGAATTGCTAGTTAATAGGATGTGTAAACATTCAGCTTGACAGTATTATGCCAAAATGTAGGTTGCCAATTTACATACCTTTCAACAATTTATGAGATCCCATTGATCCACACCTTAATCAGTACTTGATATTGTCCCACTTTTTAATTTTTATCATTATAGTGAGTGTAAAATGGTATCTCATTGTGGACTTAATTAGCAATTTTCCAACCACTAATGTGGTTGAGCATTTTTTTCATGTTTATTGGCCATTCATGTTTCTTCTTCTGTGAAATGACTGTTAATATCTTTTGCCCATTTTTAAAATTGGGATTTTTCTCACTTTTATTGGTTTGTAGGAGTTATTTAATTATTTGGATACTCATCATTTGCCAATTATGTGGCTTCTTTTTTCCTTTATGGTGTCTTTGCGTGAGCAGGAATTCCTGATTTTCGGTGAGTCGAACCATTCAATCTTTTCTGTATAGCCAGCACAGTTTTTTGTGTTGTTTTTCCTAACCTACGATCATAAAGACATTCTTTATTTTCTTGGAATATAAGTTTAAAAGTTTTATTTTTCCTATTTAAGTCCTTAATCCAAATGGAATTGATTTTTGTGTGGCATAAAGGTATGAGGGAGGGAGCCAGTTTCATTATTTTCCACACGGATAGCCTCGGGATCTGAAGCACCACCTCTGTCATACACCAAAGTTCCATTTCTGTATTGGTCCATTGCTGGGATCTCTGCTATTGGCCGGTATTTTGTCCCTGAGCCAGTATCACATGGCTTTAATTACTTTACTACCTGACTACCTTAATTACTTTGGTTTCATAAAGAATCTTGACATTTGGTACAGCAACATCTTCCCATCTTACTCTTCTTCAGGAATATGATATATTCCTGGCCCTTTCTTATTTCAAACACATTTCAGAATCGTCTTGTCATGTCCTACAGGAATATTGGAATTGCAATGCATCTATAGATCAGTTTGAAGAGAATCGATATATTGATGATGCTGAGTCTTCCTAGCTACGAACATGATATACCCTTTCATTTTAAATAAATTCTTGAATGTCTCTTGGTACGGTTTACTAATTTCCTGCATAGGGTCTTGCATATCTTGTGTTAGACTTATTCCTTGGTATTTATGGTTTTCCTGCTATTATAAGGGAGATCTTGTCATTTAACATGTTTTATCTCATTTGCAGGTGTAGAGAAATGAAGTTGACTTTTGTGTCAATATTCCAGCCATTCACCTTGTTAAACTTTTATTTTTTTAAGCAAACTTTTTATTTTAGACTAATTTTACAGTTACGGAAAAGTAAGTAAAGAGATAGTACAGAGTGTTCCTGTGTACTCCTCACCGTGATATATTTGTTAAAACTAAGAAAGCCATATTGGTATATTATTATTAAGCAAACTTCAGATTTTATATGGATTTATCAGTTTTCCCACTAATGTCTTTTTTTCTGTTCTAGGATCCAGTTCAAAATACCACATTGCGTTTAGTTGTCATCTCTATTGCCCTCTGCTCTATGACAGTTTCTTAGTCTTTCCATGCTTTTCATGCCCTTAACAGTTTTGAGGCATACTGTAGACTGTCCCTCAGTTTGGATTTGTCTGAAGTTTGCCTCATAATTAGACTGGGGTTGTTTTTGGAAAGAATACCATAGAGTTGAAGTGCCCTTTTCATCACATTATATCAGAGGTATGTGATATCCCCATGACATCATTGATGTTGACCTTAATCACTGGTTAAGGTAGTGTTTGCCAAGTGTCTCCATGGTAAAGTTGTTATTTTTCCCTTTTTATTTTCTGTTCTTTAGAAGAATCCAGCCAACCCTCAAGGAGAGGGAGGGGATTTAAGCTCCACCTCTGGAAGGGGGTGTATTTGCATGTAGTATTTGGAATTCTTCTGTAAAAACTACTAATTTCTTCTTATTTGTTTATTTACCTGTCTCTTTACTTATTTATTCAGTTGCCTGTTTGTATCAGTATGCACTTGTGTGTATTTATTTAATAATTTTAATTATAAATCCAATACTTTGTCATTTGTCTTGTTGCTCAAATTGTTCCAGCTTTGGCCACTGGGAGCTCTTTCAAGTTGGCTCCTGTGTCCCTTTTCAAATGCCTCCATCTTTTGTTTTTTTAGCACTGCCTTATCTACTCATATTGTTATTTTCCTGCTCCATCCCTAGAATTGGCCATTTCTCAAGGAGCCCTTGTTCCTTCTAGGTTGTCTGTATATTCTTTTTTTTTTCTTTCTTTTTTTAATTTAAATTCAATTAGCCAAGGTATAGTACATCATTACTATCTGTATATTCTTTTGTGTTTTCTATGTTGACAACAATATCAGCTATAAATAATGACAACTTGGTTTTTCCCTTTCCAATCTTTATGCCTTTCATTTATTCTTCTTGTGTTACTGAGATGGACAGGCCCTCCAGGACAGTGTTCAAGAGAAAAGACAGTAGTGGGCATCCTTGTCTTGTTGGGTATTTATTTTAAAGGAAACACCACTAAGTTTTTTCCCTATTTAGAATGATATTTGCTGTAGATTCCTCCAGGTGTTACCAGATTAAAGCAAGTGCCAACCTGTCACTATGCTAAGAAGTTTTTATTATTGTTTTTAAATCACAAAAGGGTGTTGAATTTTTTTTTGTCAAATACCTTTTCTGTTTATTAGGATCATTATGGGTTTTTTTTTTTTCTCAGTAATGTGATAATGTGGTAAATGATGTGTATGGATTTTCCTCATGGTAGACTACCTTTGCATTTCTGGTATAAACACTACTTGGTCATGATCTTTTCCTTTTTATACGGTACTAGATTTAGTTTGTTAATATTTGTTTAGGATTTTTGTATCTGTGTCCATGAGTAAAATTGGTCTTTAATTTTCCTTTCTCATGCAATCATAATTTGCTTTTGGCCTCAAGTTCTGCTGGTATCCTAGAATGAGTTAGTGTTCCCTTTTTTAAAATATTCTGGAAGATGCTATATGACTTTGGAACGATCTGTTTGGTAGAATTCTCCTGTAAAACCATCTTGCCCTGGTGTTTTGCTTTTTTAACATTGAATTAATATTCAACTTCTAAGTAAATTCTTTTCAAAAATTTATTTGAGAAACTTGAAATCTGCTCCCATAACATGTTTATTTTATATCAGGTTTTATGCTTCAAGTGGCTACACACAAATCCTGATCGAGACTTTTTAATGATATGTTTCTTCAAATTCTTAACAGTCACTGCCACCAAAAATCTCTCTTTGTACAATGGAAGCGATAAAGTATTTAGAACCGATTTTTAACTTGTTCAGAAATGTTTAATGATTGAAATGATAGCAGCCTTTTTTGTTTTACTGACAAATATATTGTTAGAATTTCTTGAGACAGTGTGATTAGATTTCAAATCCGACTGAACTCTTTCATATTAATTATTTTGAAATAATGATGAAGCTCTTATTTGCAGAACATGCATCACTGTTAGAACCATCACCCTGCAGCTAGCTTGGACACCATTAAAAGGGCTCATCAGCTGCAAACGGATAGAAGTATCTGGTATTCGTGAAGACAGAGTTTTGGGGCTGCCACCTGGAGCTACGCCCTCCAGAAGCCCCTGCTTGGCCTCCCTGCACCCAACCCCACACCAAGCAGCCACAACTCGGGCTGTGTGTGGTGTTTCTTGGCAATTGGAACGCAGACTCCTCCAGCGGCTCCACAGCCCCCTTGTCCTCAGTGAGCAGAAGACCACAGAAGCTGGCTCCTGAAGAGGCTGTCCAAGCAATAGAGCTCCTCCTTGGCTCTGCTTAGCACACTTACCACACAGGAGTGCTGGATGTTCCTCATTCCTGCTCACTACCCACGGGGACTGTAGAGGGATTTGTCAGGCCCCATTTCACCAAGGGCCACCCTGTAAGGATCTCCACAGGAGGCCGCCCATAGAGAGAAGGGGCCTGCCTGGGTTCTCCACTGCCTTAAGGCCTACGTGGACACCCTCCAGGGCTGAGGGGATCAAAACCTTTTCACCTACCCGTGATCCACATTATCAGCTGCAAAGTTCTGCCTCCGAGTTTGTGTTCTTTTGTTTGTTTTTTTGTTTTGTTTTGTTTTGTTTTTGGTAGAAAGAGTTTTAACTGCTTCTTCCATTCCTGTAGTAACTAGAGGGCTACTCGGGATTTCTTTTTGCTTCTTGAGTCAATTTGGTAAGTTATCGATTTCTAGGAATCGGTCCATTTTATCTGCATTCTTGAATTTATTGGCATAAAGTTCCCTTTTTAAAAAAATCCTCTGCTGTATACAACCTGTAACTATGTCTCCTTTTTCATTGCTGATATTGGTTATTTGTGCCTTCTCACTTTTTTTCTTGATCAATCTCACCAGAGGTTTGTCTATTTTATTAGTCTTTTCCAAGAACCAACTTTTGGCTCTGTTGCTCCTCTCTATTGTGTCTTTGTTTTCTATTTCTTTAATTTCCGCTCTTATCTTTTTTGATCTCCTTCCGTCCACATTTTTTGGATTTATTCTGTTGTTCTTTTTCTGATTTCGTATGTTAGACATGGAGCTCATTAATTTTCAGCCTTTCTTGTTTTATAATGTGTGCATTTAAAGATATACATTTCCTTCCAAGTACTACTTTTCTACACATTCAAACATGTCATACTTCATTATTGTTCAGTTCCAAGTACTTCAACATTTCCATCATGGTTACTTCTTTGGTGAGTGATATAGAAGTGTGTTTATAAATTTCTAAATGTGCGGGGAATTTTTAATGTATCTCTTTGTTATTGAAATCTATCTTAATTGCATTATGGTCTGAGGATGTGGTCTGTGTAATAACAACTCTAAAATTAATTGAGACTTGTTTTATGGCTTAGTACATGATCAATATTTTTGAATGTTTCCTATGTGCTTTATAAGATGTATGTTCTCTAATTGTTGAACACAGAGTTCTACATATGTCTATTATCAAGTTTGTTAATTGTATTGTTCAAATTTTCTATATCTACACTGATATTTTGGTCATGCTATGCCAGTAATTTTAAGAGGTGTGTTCATTTTCAACTATGATGGTGGATTTGTCTGTTTCTCCTTACAGTTCTTTTTAAAAATTTTATATATTTTGAGGATATTTTATTAGGAATATTCAAATGAAGAATTGTTATACATTCCTGGTAAATATGTAATGACCCTCTCTATTCTCGATAATGCATTTTTTGAAGTCTGTCTTATCTTACCTTAACACAAGCTTTTCTTCTTGTTCGGATTTGTGTGGTATACAATTTTCCATCCTTTCATTGTTCAACATTTTCATGCCCTTATGCGTTAATTATATCTCTTGAGAATGGCATACAGCTGGACCCTTAAAAAAATCTAATCTGATGATCTCTTTTAATGGCGAGTTTAGTCTGTTTACATTTTCTATGATATATTTGGACTTGTTTCTACCATTGTACTTTTTTATTTCTATTTCCTACCACCACCTTTTCTATGCTTCGTTTTTCTCTTTTCTGGCCTGTTTTTTAGTTCTGAGATTTGTTTATTTGCTTTCTTATTCAGTTTTTTCCTCTGTACTGTTTGAAATTTACACATTCTTTTTTTTTATTATTCTTTCTGTGGTTATCCTTGAACTTTCACCATGCATGTGTAACTTATAAGGTCTAAAGTTAAATAGCATTTTAACCTCCCTCTTGAAGAATACAGGAACCTTTAACTCTGGTCATTCCTCTCTTTGCCACATGCTATTGTCTTGAGTATGTTAGTTAGTTTCTTTTTTTTCCTAACCTCACAAATTCTATATCATCATTAGTATTATTTTACATAGACAGTATTTGTTTGGATTTACATGCATACATTCTTGCATCTCAGACCATCATTCTGGGATCATTTTCTTTTATCATAAATACAATGTTTAGATGTTCTTTTAGTACAGGTCTCTTGGTGTTAAATTCTCCCAGTTTTTGTTGTTATATGCAAATGTCTTTATTTTATCCTCATTCTTAAAAGATAATTTGTTATAAGTATTTAGAAGTCTGCTGTCGGTCTAATTGCTATTTTGGGTAGGTATTTTTGTTTTCTTATACTTGAACTACTTTTAAGAAATTCTCTCTCTCTCTCTCTCTCTCTCAGAGGGAGATCTGCAGGGGGGTATGCAGTTTCATTCTAACATGTTTAGGCATGTATTTCTTTTTTATTCTTCCTTGGAAATGTGCTTCATGCTTTTTAATTCATGTTTTTCATACTTTCTAGAAAATTCTCAGCCATTATCTTTTCAAATATTGTCTTTCTTCCACCCTTTCCATATTTTCTTTCTCAGAATCCAGTTAGTCATATTTCAGACCACATTGCATCTTCCATATCTCATAATGTCTTGTTGATATTTTCTATTTCCTTGTCTTCCTGCATTTCATTCTGGGCAATTTCTTCAGATATATCTTTCAGTTTACTGATACTCTCTTCAGCTCTGTCAGCTCTGTCTGTTTAATCTGTCCACTGAGTTTTTTATTCCAATAAGTATATTTTTCATGTGTACAAGCTGTGTATTTTTCGCTTTCGAATCTGCCTAGTCATCCCTAATAGTCTCTTGTTGCTTGCTCATCTTTGTGGTTGCATCTTTTATTTAAAAAGAACATTTTATACACTTTTTGTTCAACCAGTAATCACTGTTTGCATAAGTGTGACTCATTATCGTTCACATCTAAACCATATAGTACTCTCTGATCATATATCCTTTGTTGTATACCTTTTTGTTTTCCTAGTAATCGTCTTTGTTTCTTTTGCCTAGTGTTACCATACCTATTACTAATTCTTTGAAATTCCTTTTAAAATCCATATCATATCATGTCTCTCCTCTGCTCAAAATTCTCCCATGGCTCCCAGCTCCCTCAGAAGAAAAGTCAAAGCCCTCACCATGGCCCAAAAGTCCACACAGTGTGGTTCCCATGCCCTTTCTGACCTCCTATCCTGTTAATCTTCCCATTACTCACTCATTTCCAGCCACCCTAGCCCCCTGGCTGTTCTTCAAACATGTCAGGTAACCCTCCCCCTTCAGAGCTTTTGTGCCTGCTGTTCTCACTGCCTGGAACACTCTTCTTTCCAGATAATCTCATGAGTTTCCCCCCCACTTCTAGTATGCTGAAATGTCACCTCTCTAGAGAAGCATTCCCTAACCAAATTAGTCCCATTCACCAGTGTTTTCTAACCCCTTATCCTACTTGACGTCTCATGTTTTTGTACCAAACACTGATCACCACCTGATATATGTTCTATTTATTTATTGTGATTAGTGTTTGTCTTTTCCCAGTAGACTGTAAGCTCCACAAAGCAGGGACTTTGTTTTGTTCACTATTGTATCCCCAGTGCCAAGAAGAACAGTGCATAGTAATATTTAGTAGATACTCAATAAATATTTATGGAATAAACGGTATTACTAATTGATTAAATAATGTGGATGATAGAGAAATGTTCATTAATGTGGATGATTAATAGTTAATTCGGGGCGCCTGGGTGGCTCAGTTGGTTAAGCGACTGCCTTCGGCTCAGGTCATGATCCTGGAGTCCCTGGATCGAGTCCCGCATCGGGCTCCCTGCTCGGTGGGGAGTTTTCTTCTCCCTCTGACCCTCCCCCCTCTCATGTGCTCTCTCTCATTCTCTCTCTCTCAGATAAATAAATAAAATCTTTTTAAAAAAAAAAGTTAATTAATTAATGTGGGTGATAGAGAAATGCATTGAGAACTAGCCTGGTCATGAAGGCCTTTCATGCCATGCTAAGGAGTGTGGATATCATTGTTCAGAAAGGTGAGGGTTGTGATGAAGCAGTAAGGATAGCTCCTGGGTTCTTTCGAGAAGTAAGTTCCTGGTTGGTAGGGTGGGGACAAAGACCCGCGTTCTCTATGACTGGCTCTATGCCCTGAGGCTCCTGAAGGTGGACCTGCCTCTTTCTCCGACAGCCCTCAAACTGCTGTATTGTCACGCCTGCCTGGTACCTGGTGAAACCAAAGCCACAGTTCTCACTGGGCCTTCTGATCCCAGCTAGGATCCCCCTTCCTCCTGCTCTGAAGAACGGTTTCTTGTCCCAGCTCAAGCAAATCACCCCCCTTAGACTTTTTCTTTTACTGGGTTAGGAGGTGATGGTGGTACAGAAGCTGATACAGAGCCTGGCACGTAGTAAGTACTATTATAATGGTGGACAACACAAGGAGCTAAGTTTCAGCTCTCCATTGTCAAGACTGCAGTAGGTCGTGAGGTTTTAGTCCTGACTTTCCCCTTAAACTCCTTGGGGACCAACATGGCTCCAGTGTATCTACTTGCCCATGACTGTTGGGATGCTAATTCTCTTGTCTTAGGTGTAACCTACTCCCTCAGCTATTTGTCACCCACTGATTTTATCAGAATGTCATCAATATACACAGGGCCCTATAGCATGCCTCTAGAGATTTCCCTCTCCAGGCCAACATGAAGTCATTCATCATTACCAGTGTAACCATCCAACTAGTTCTAAGTTCAGTCGAGCAAAATCAACTGACCACCTACTATGTGTCAGGCCTCCGCTCTGCCCTGAGGACCCAGAGATGAACAAGGCGTGTCCCCAGACACAGAATAATAGACTGTGAGAGCCTCTGAGGAACGTAGAAGCCAGGTCAGGGGACCAGGGAAGATTTCTTAGAAGAGATGGCATATCAACTGAGCTTTAAAAAGATGATAAGAATCTTCTGGATGACTAACAAGGGGAGAGGAGGGCAGTCCAGGCAAAGGGAACAGCATGGGCAAAGGCCCAAAGATAGGAAGCAGCATGATGTGCACTAACCTGCCTAACTACGATTACTGTTCACCCGTCTTTCTATGAGATCATCCTAAGACACTTTAACACCAAAACCCAGATATGAGGAGTTTGTGGCCCTCTGACATGCTAAGGTGTTCAAACTCTTCAGAAAAGTCATGAAAAGTTGGTCAGACATGACTGTCCATGAGCTTGTCCACACTAGCTTCCAGTGTCCCTGGTTTCCTTATCTAGACCATGATGTTCATGTGACTTGCTTCCTTTAGGCCTCCCTGGGGTTGGGGTCATTCTCACTCTCCTGGAGATTAGAGTCTCCCTCAGCCCTATGTGAGGAGATCTCCTTGTGGAGAGGAATTTTTCTAACTCCTGACACTAACCACCTCTCTCAAGGAGTAAAGAGGGCCTGCCCCATCTTGTCCTTAGATATTGCGATTCATCTCTACTTGGGTTTCATTCACACCTGTAATAATCTAGGACAAGTGGGCTGTGGAGTCTGGCAAGCCCAGTTTCAAAGCCTGGAACCCCCACGTCTTGATTGTGTGACCTTACAACCTATCCTCTCTAAACATCAGTTTTCTCATCAGTAAAATGGGTCTAATGCCTACCTTGGACAGTAGGGTGCTGGGCGTGGAGCCCAACACAGGGCTTGAACTCATGACCCTGAGATCAAGATCTGAGCTGAGCTCAAGAGTCGGACACTTAACCAACTGAGTCACCCAGGTGCCCCTACCTAGGATAGTTTTTGTGGATGTTAGAATACATGTCAAGTACCTGGCACCTGGCCACCATTTACTGAACATCTACTACAATCAACATTAAAGGGAAAACAGCATAGTGGTTAAGAACATGAGCTGTAGATCAGACCAACCTCGATTTGGATTGCTGCTCAACTACTTACTAGCATTGTGACCTTGGTCAAGTTTTCTAACATTTTTTAATCTTACGGTTTTTTGTCTGTTTTAATTTTTTTTTTTTTAAGATTTTATTTATTTGACAGAGAGAGACACAGCAAGAGAGGGAAGAGAAGCAGGGGGAGTGGGAGAGGGAGAAGCAGGCTCCCCGCTGAGCAGAGAGCCTGATCCAGGGGCTGGATCCCAGGACCCTGGGATTATCGTGACCTGAGCCGAAGGCAGATGCCTAACCGACTGAGCCACCCAGGCGCTCCAGTCTTTGTTTTTACATTTTCAAAATGAGGTTAACGGGCGCCTGGGTGGCTCAGTTGGTTAAGCGACTGCCTTCAGCTCAGGTCATGATCCTGGAGTCCCGGGATCGAGTCCCACATCGGGCTCCCTGCTCAGCAGGGAGTCTACTTCTCCCTCTGACCCTCCTCCCTCTCATGCTCTCTGTCTCCCATCGTCTCTCTCGCAAATAAATAAAATCTTAAAAAAAAAAAAATGAGGGGGTGCCTGGGTGGCTCAGTTGGTTGAGCGACTGCCTTCGGCTCAGGTCATGATCCTGGAGTCCCGGGATCGAGTCCCACATCGGACTTCCTGCTCGGCGGGGAGTCTGCTTCGTCCTCTGACCCTCCCCCCTCTCATGTGCTCTCTCTCATTCTCTCTCAAATAAATAAATAAAATCTTTAAAAAAAAAAATGAGGTTAATGCACCTACTTCAGAGTTGTTGTGTGTACATATTATAGCAGTGTATAATATGCTCCCACAGGCTCCAGGCCCCTCCCCAGCCTGCCCTCTTCAATGACCCCATCCCCAGAAGACATATCCTTTTCTCAGTTCCCCCCACTCTCTAGGGCTGACAAAGAGGACTGAGCTTCCCCTTCAGAGTCACAAGGACACTTTGTTATGGGACTTTCTAATGATAAACTGCTCTTGCATTTCTGGAATTAGACCTAACCCTTTCATGTCATAGTAAGTCTTTTCTTACTCACCCTGGATTTGGTTTGCTAATAAATTGCTTAGGATTTTTTTTTAAAGATTTTATTTATTTATTTGAGAGAGAGAGAATGAGAGACAGAGAGCACGAGAGGGAAGAGGGTCAGAGGGAAGAGCAGACCCCCTGCTGAGCAGGGAGCCCGATGCGGGACTCGATCCCGGGAATCCAGGATCATGACCTGAGCCGAAGGCAGTCGCTTAACCAACTGAGCCAACCAGGCGCCCAATTGTTTAGAATTTTTGCATCTTTGGTCACTTACTGTATTTGTCTGCTTAGGGCTATAGTGGGCTCATGCAATAAATAAATGAATTTTCTAAAAATTGGTCCAATTCGTCTAAGTTATAAAATTAATTGTATTCTCTTATTTTTTGATTCCTGCTATATCTTTTACATTGCTCATATTAATTATTTGTGCCTTTTCTCTTTTTTCCTTGATTGGTCCCTCCAAAGATTTTTTAGTGCTTTGTCTTAAAATTTTACCATACATATTTAAAGTCTAAAGTTAAACATTATCATAATCTCCCACCCAAACAAGACAAGGACTTCATAAAACACTGTCTCCCAATTTACATGTCATTGTTGTTCACTATCTTAGTACTTTCTTTTCTAAGGAAGTCATTAACATACACAAAGAATAGACATTAATAATATTATTTTATGCAGACAGTGCTTGTTTACATTTAAATACGTGTTTCCTATTTTATTTGCTCAGCTTCCTTCTTATACCTCAGTCCTCCTTTTTTAAGATGATTTTCCATCTTCTTGAATATATACTTTAGAAGATCCTTTAGTGCAAATCTCTTCACAGGCGACGGTCTCAAACTGTATTTATCTGTAAATGTATAAATGCCTTTATTTTACTTTATTCTTCTTGAAAGATAGATTTGCTGAGCACTCAATTCTAAATTATGTTGTTTTTTTTAAAGATTTTATTTATTTATTTGACAGAGAGAGACACAGCGAGAGAGGGAACACAAGCAGGGGGAGTGGGAGAGGGAGAAGCAGGCTCCCCGCAGAGCAGGGAGCCTGATGTGGGACTCCATCCCAGGACCCCTGGGATCATGACCTGAGCCGAAGGCAGTCGCTCAACCGACTGAGCCACCCAGGCGCCCTCTAAATTATGTTTTTTTCCCCCTCTAAACACTTAGAAGATATTATGGCACTGTCTTCTGGTTTCCATTACTGCTGTTGAGAGGTCCGTTGTTGTCTAATTTTTTTTTTTTTTTGGTAGGTGTCCTTTTTCCCTGGCTGCTTTGAAGATCCTTCTTTGATTACTGCTTGATTCTAAGAGCTTTTTGTTGCTGTTCTCTGTATGTTCCTTTTTTTATGAATGGAAAAAATTCCCCTATTGCTTTTTGTAGGAAATTATTAAAATAGAGAATGGTTATTGACTTCTGTACGTTGAACTTAAAAACCACCTTATGAATATATTCCTTCTAATGCATTTTTCTAATGCATCAGAACCTTTTGGGCTTCCTGGGCATAAAATAATATCAGTAACAAATAGGTTTTTTATCTCTGCTTTTCCAGTGTTGTACCAGTTACCTCATTTTTTTGGTCCCACCGTTCTTTTATAATTTCCAAGACAATATTGAGTATTATGGTAGTAGCAGGTAGTTCTGTTTTGTTCCTGATGATTTTGCTCATCTGACAAATATTCATTGAATATTTGCTGAGAGTCAGGCCGTGTTCTAGGGCCTGAGAATACCTAGGGGATGAATGTTCCTTTTTATAGCTTCCTGGTCTTGCTTTGTGAATGCATTATTTTTTCA